GAGGTTTTAGGCATACTGTAGCACCAATCTGACACTTTTTCCACGTCAGTCTAGAGAGATGGAAAGATAATTGAATAAGGAATAACTTTTGCACTGTGGGATTTCAGTGAAAATATTCCAAATATTCCCTAAAATCATTCTATGTGTCCACTTCCCATTATAAAACAATGAATCAGAAAGTACTATCTTTGTCTCCCAGCTAGCCTTGTCCTCTCACCTCAACCACTATTCAGCCATCAGCTGCCAGAATTCCAAAGCAGTGAGCACGTCTCCAAATAAAGGGCCAGAACAGTCACTCCAGGTAGTTGTGTCTGTATTCTCAGTGTATATACCAGTCAGTTTTGCTATGACATGACACATGGGCCTAAAAATTATGTATTATGCAAGAATGATGCTGTAATAACCACAGGACTTACGGTTGGAGGCACCCCACAAACACTTCATCAGTGGCATATTTTAAGAAACAGAAGCTATGAAAAATAGTAATATAGTTTTACATATTAAATAGTTAAGAAATACGCCAGTATTACACTTTCCCCTGAGAAAGACCTGAAGTCTGTAGAAGTGGCCTGTCCAGAAATTCAAGACTGCAGTGAGTTATAATTGTCTCACTGCACTCCAGCCTGGGTGATAGAGCAAGACCCTGTCTCAAGAAAAACCAATCAAACAAAAGAACATACATATAACTGAAATGTGGCATTTCTGGATTGGATCCTGGAAAAGAAAAAGAATAGGCACAGAAAAATGGTGAAATCAGAAGAAAATTTATATAGTTTAGTTTCACTGTATAACCTCGGAATATTATTTGATGGGCATGTAATATCTATTTGAAAACATAAAATTTAGCTTTTTTTTTTTTTTTTTTTAAAAAAGAAGTGTCCTGTCCACACTTCTGTTGGTGGAAAGAGGGTATGTGGATGGGTGAGGGTTGTTGTACTCATGAGGTGTGTGCATGTCTGCATTTTGTTTATTTTATTTATTTATTTAGAAGGAGTCTCTCTGTGTCACCCAGGCTGGAGTACAGTGGCTCTGTCTCAGCTCACTGCAACCTCTGCCTTCCAGGTTCAAGCAATTCTCCTGCTTCAGCCTCTCGAGTAGCTGGGATTACAGGTGTACACCACCACACCCAGCTAATTTTTGTATTTTTAGTAGAGGCGAGGGCTCTTTCCCACAAAGAAAATTACAAATTTAGATGGCTTCAGTGGTGAATTCTGTGAAACAATTGCGGAGTTGCAAGGGATCTTGGAAGTCTCCTTGATCCAACCTCCTAATCAATAATCAGAAAGAAATCCTTTTCACAGGCTCTCTACTAATGACCACCACAATTCTGCCTGAACTGTTTCAAGTTTGCCCCAGCATTATGGAGCGACTCTTAAGAGAAGGAAGCCCTCCCACTAAGCCCCAATCTGTCTTCTGGTGTCTTTCAGCCAGTGCGTCTGTCAGCGAGCTGAAACATTCAGCTCCTTCTTAGTCACGTCAGCCCTGGCAACAGCCAGGTCTCCCTCAAATTTTCTCCCTCTAGGACTGAACGTGCCCTGGTCTTTCAGTCCTTCCTCACACGGCATGGCTTTCAGGTCAAGGAGAATGCTCCAACTCCAACACTTTCACTTGCCGACAGTTTGATTCCACAGTGAGTTTGAGAGCTCAGCCACCCGTGCATCTATTCCTGGGTTTGGCTCAAAAGGGAAGCATGTCCCATTTGCCTTAGTTAGCTCTCCTGCCTTCTCTTACAGAAGTCTTTATTTCAGCGTTAACTTATTTATTTTCTGCTCAAATAGCTCAGATTATACATTAGTTATCATTTTTAAGTGCCATTGTAGGTAGTACTAATATGTTCTATTCAAAGGGAAAACTCTCTTGTGTATTGGGGGTGTCTAAGGTGAACTGAAATTATCCGGGTATGTTCTGCACATGGAAAGTTGCTCAAGGAAATAATTGCTGAATGAAGAATGACTGACTGAACAATGAACAATTAAACAGTATAAGCAGCAAGAAGATTATTTACAAATGGTCCTTAGTTAAAGCCGATGAGCCACCACTCTTTACATTTAATTAGAGAAAGTCTGTAGGAAGAGCTGGGACTCCAGTGGAGCAGACAGCAAGAACTTGACAAAAATATATATATATTGGGTTGGGATTTGGAAAAAGAAATAAAAAAGCTTGTACATGGGATATATAGACAGGAAATCTGTTATTAATTTCAGATGTCCTGAATGAAGCTGCTAATAACAAATCATTACTAATTACTAATCGTGTCATTCCTAGTCCGGAGATAGTGTTATGGGAAATGGGAATAGCCATGGCCGGCAGTATTCTTGCATGTTAGCATTTAGAATGATTTTCTTTTCTAGCATCGGTTATACAGACAGGTCATCTGGCCAAACTGCGAAAGCTGGACCTGAGCTATAATGACAGCATCTGTGATGCAGGGTGGACCATGTTCTGCCAAAAGGTGCGGTTCCTCAAAGAGCTAAGCGAGCTGGATATTAGCCTTCGACCATCAAATTTTCGAGATTGTGGACAATGGTTTAGACACTTGTTATGCACTGTGACCAAACTTCCTCAGATCACTGAGATAGGAATGAAACGATGGATTCTTCCAGCTTCGCAGGAAGAGGAACTAGAATGGTTTGACCAAGACGGAAAAAGAAGCATTCACTTTGACCATGGTGGGTTTCAGTAAGCTGATTTCCCATTGTCCTACTAAGCTACAAATCATTCTCCAAAGGAAAAGAACATGAACAAATTGCAGTGTCATCAACTGAATATCAACTTCTGAGCCGTTTAATGGGACTTCTATTAAAGAGCTTTGTAGATCTATGTGTATAATATCTAATGTGAACATGCCATTATTCTCTGTCTTATGATACAAAAATGGCATTTTTCAATAGATTTGTTTTGGATATATAATTAGTTCCTTTACTGTTTAGAAGCCTTGCAAAAAGTGTTTAGATTCTGGTACTGCAACCGTTTTTCTCTTGCCCAGAAATGTTTTGCCTTCTCTTTTCCTACAAGTTAAGAGTTCTAAATATAAGTGTGTGTGTGTGTGTGTAATTCTAACGTGAAATAGTTAATTACACTAGCTAATAGTTTCATGTATCATTACTGTTATTATATGTATCATAATGTGGTCTATGTAGGTTTTTATCTGAAAGCGTCCCCTTCTATGGTTTATTATTTTATGTTCCAGTGCATTTTATTTCAGATATAAACCATGGACAGTAATGATAGTCACTGACTTATAAATCTTAGTAAAAAGTAGTTAAAAATTTAAAACTCAGTATGAAAAATACGTCTTGTTAGAAGAAATTAAAACCTTTAACGTTTAAAAAGACAAACTGTTTACATATTGCCTTTAGGCATTTCTTTGAAATGGAATTTGCCTCATCAAACTTCTTTAGTTCATTAATGACAGTTTCTGTGTTGCTCTAAACTGAAATTTTTGATTTTCTTTTGCTAGAGCATGAATGTCATTGCATGGCAGAGATGTTTGTCTACACATTTCTATTCTGACATGCTCTACTCAAATTATGTTTTGCTTTCTTCTTACTACACTAATAATTAGTATTGTAATCACTGCCTGAAAGACATGCAAATTTAAAATCAACACTACTCCAAATTTAAAAGTGTTCAGGATGAGGAAGTTTTGAATGCTATAAAAGGGAATACTTTGGACTGCATGATATAAAAGAATACCATGAATTCCCTGGGCGCTCCCATGATTTCCATGAGTATCTATGCAGATGCAAAACCTATGCATGAATGTTCCCTGGCAGCTTTGTTAATAATAGCAAAAAAACTGGAAACAATGAGTAAAATGTTAAACAAGCTGTGAGACTATGCAGTACTCCTCAGTCACAGAAGGGAACAAACCACTGATACATGCCACCATTTGGACAGACTTCAAGTGGATCATGCTGAATAAAAAAGCCAATCTGAGTTGCACACTGTGCATTTCCATTTATGTGACATTCCCAAAATGACAAAATGATGGAGATGGAGAATAGGTTAGGAATAGGGAGAGGAGTAGGCAGTAGGTATGGCTACAGAGGAATAGCACAAGGGAAACTTGTGCCAATGGAGCAATTCTGTGTCTTGATTGTGATGGTGGTTACACAAAGCTCTACGTGACAAAATTAGGATTATACAGACACACACATATACACAAATGAGTGCACTGTTGATTGTACCAATGTCAGTTTTCTGGTTTTGTTATTGTGCTACAGTTATGCAAGAGGTCAGCATTGAGGGAGGCTGAGCAAGGCATGGACCTACCTAAGCATTTCTTTAGAACTTCCTGTGAATCTATAATTATTTCACAATAAAAGTTTCAAAAGTAGGCAGGATGGTGTGGTGGCTTATGCCTGTAATCCCAGCACTTTGGGAAACCAAGGTGGGCAGGTCAGTTGAGGTCAGGAGTCCAAGACTAGCCTGGCCAACATGGTGAAGCCCCAACTCTACCAAAAAAATATAAAAATGAGCCAGGCATGGTGGTGTGTGCCTGTAGTCCTAGCTACTCGGGAGGCTGAGGCACAAGAATTGCTGGAACCTGGGAAGCGGAAGTTGCAGTGACCCAAGATTGCACCACTGCACTCCAGCCTGGCAAGAGTGAGATCCTGTCTTAAAAGAAATAAAAAATAAATAAACATAGGAAAATAGTATAATGAACCCTCGTGTACTCATCAGCTTATTCTATAGTTATCAGTGTATGGCCAATCTTGTTTCACTTGTATTCCTACCCACTTTCCCCTCCCCATCCCATATTATTTAGAAGCAATTCCAAGCTGTCATACCATTTTATCCGTAAACATTTCAGTCAAAGTAAAAATCATTTATTTGGCCGGGCGTGGTGGCTCACGCCTGTAATCCAAGAACTTTGGAGGCCAAGGTGGGAGAATCATCTGAGGTCGTGAGTTCAAGACCAGCCTGACCAACATGGTGAAACCCCGTCTGTATAAAAAAAATTAAAAATTTTTTAAAATCATTTTTACACATAAACATAATTTTATGAATAATTTTAATGTAGTAGGCATCTAATTGCTAGATATTTTGCCTTTATCCATCAAGGTTCATTACCCCAATTTATCAATTTTTAGGATTATTTCTTATTTTTCTTTCCTGGTATTTCTTTTACATCCTTCTTTCCTTTCTTATCTTTTGGAGATGCCTTTCCTTTCTTTCGTGCTTTTATTAGTTCACTGAATTTCCCAAATCCTTTCCGTACCATTGTTCCACGCCACCACGCCTGAATCTGAAAACAAGATAAACCCAAATTCAGCGTCGGCTGGTATCATGATGAACAGGAGATCGTTAAATCTCTTTTTTCTGATAGGTGGTCTTGAAGATGTAGACAATGGGATGTGATTAGAACTCTAAATTTTATTTTCTATTTTTCTCAACCGGCCAGGCATTCAGGCAAATTTTTAAAAAATGCATTTATTGCTTTTATGTGCCAGGTCCTGAAACGTTCTAGACTTTTGGGCAAGAGCTGTGAAATAACTGCCTCAACTTTATGGAGCTCACATTTCAGTGAGAGAAGAGACAGTAAGAAATAAACATATGAATGTTTAATTTGACAGACGGTGATGAGTGCTACAGAGAGCGACCGTGCATGGTGAGGGGATCTGAGTGCTCTTCCCTGCCTTCCAGCTCCTTACTGGGCTGTCTGTGCTCCTGCCTAAAGCCACCCCTCACTTGTTCCCTCGATCCCATCCCCTCCTACCTGCCCAGCAACACCCCTCCACTAGTAGTAGACTCATCCAGTGGCTCCCCATTTCTCTCAGAATAAAAGCCAAAGTCCTTATATGGCTTACAAGGCCCTCTCTGATCTGCCTCCCCAAACCTGACCCCCCTAACCTCTTGACTCCTCTTTCCCTGGCTCACTCTGCTCCAGCTGTGCGGGCTTCCTCCCTGCTCAGACACACGGGCACAGTTCTAACTCAGAGCCTGTACATTCGCTGCTTCCTTTGCCTGGAACTCTTCTCAGTATTCAGATGGCTCCACTGCTTCAAGGGTTTGCTCAATTGTCATTGCTGTGGACCAAACTGTGTTGCCCCCGATTCATATGTTGAAGCCCTAATCCCCAGTGTGATGGAATTTGGAGAAGGGGCTATAGGGAGATAATTAGATTTAGATGAGGTCATGAGGGTGGGGCCCTCATGATGAGAACAGTGGCCTTATAAGGAGAGACATCAGAGAGCTATCACTCTCTAGTGAAATATCTCTCTCACTCTCCCTCTCTGCCGTATGAAGACAGGGGAGAAGGGAGCTTCTACAAGCCAGGACGAGAGCCTTCACCAGAATCCAATCATGCTGATACTCTGACCTCAGACTTCCAGCCTCCAGAAAAAATACATTTCTGTGAGATGTATTTTCTGTGAGAAAATACATTTCTGTTGTTTAAGCCACCTGTTCTATGGTATTTTGTTGTGGTAGCCTAAGCTAAGACTGTCATCTTTTCAATGAGGCCAACTCTGACAATCTTACTTAAATCAATTACTTCCCCACCTCCACACACTACAGGCAATTTCAGTTCCCCTTAGGCTGATGGTTTTTTTTTTTTTTTAATTTAACAATAGCACTCTTTAACATAGTATTTAATTTTACATTTTATATTTCATGCTTTTATTTTCCTCCTACTAGATTTTAAGTGCTGTGAGGACATAAATATTTGTTTTGTTCACTGATGTATCTCTATGCTTAGAACAGTGTCTGGTACATAGTAGAAGCTCAATAAATGTTTGTTGAATGAATGAACAAATGAAAGAGGTGGATGAGGGTATGCTGTTTCATATAAGGTGGATCAAGGAAGGGCCCTCTGATAAGAGGCCATTCAAGCAGAGATGGAATGAAGTAAGAGCCAGAATCTTGCCCATATCTGGGGGAAGCATCTCTGGGCACAGGGAAGAACCAGTGTTAAGGCCCTGAGCCAGAGCACTTGGTCCTTGGAAGAACACCTGTGATCTCCTTGTGACTGAAGCCCAGTGAGAGTGGGAAAGATGAGATGGGGAGTGAAAACAGCAGACCAACCAGGATCCAGGGAATAGCACTGCTCTCTAGAGGCATTTTGGAAATTTATGGAGCTTTTTGTGGTCTTAAGGTTTAGCAGTCTTTAATGTGTGGCCTTTACCCTGGTCTACGAAGCCTTTCCAACGGTGTGCAGGCATGGATAAGTTGAAGACAGCTCATTTCCTGAGCTGTATCCCTTCCTAAAATCATCCCGAGAACATAACTGTGGATCCCCCATGCCACTTGCCCCTCTGGTGCTCCACAGTGGGAGGGTATGCCTTGCACCCACCCGAATACCTAAATCTTACTGTGGTGCATTGCCCTGGACTCAAAAAATCTTTAGGACACACACACACACACACACACACAAAAAAAAAAAAAAAAAAAAAAGGAAAAAAAGAAAAAGACAATTCAAGTACAAGTGTTGATGAGAAAATGGTTGACTTTGAGGACTGGTTAACCAATCCTTTTGCAAGACAGGTCATTTCTAATTCTACCTTCAAGAAAAATAAGGTAAGACTAGTTGACATGTCAGCTAAGACTTGCTATTGATTTGGGGGATATAAATCTGGAATAAGTTCAGAGATGCATGAAAGCATTGTTATTTAAAAAAAAAATTACAGGCAAAAAAAGCTGCTTCCATTCTCATTAACCCATCTACATGTACAAGATTTCTTAAGGCTTTCATCTGAAAATGAAAAACAGGAGTAGAATCTATAATAAACCCTGACTTATCCTAATAATCAGCAACATTTATACATGAATATATAAACTACATTAAAAAAGCTCCTTATACTGTTCTAAAAAATCCTAATAATTATTAAAATTTGTAAGAAATTTTATGTTGTTTTAGGTGATGTTAAACTACTAATAGTTGTAATGTATATACATTTTTAAATGTTTAAAATTTAATTTATATAAATATTTTTGTTGCCCAGAAGTACAAAAGAACAATCTATAAAAGATTTATATGTATATCTATATAGCTTTAGGATCAATTATGAGGGGAAAGTAGAATGGACATGCATGTTCAAGAAGAAAAGAAATATGATATAAAAATTCTGCCTATAAAATTACTTATTTGGGTATTTGTAAATTGGTGTTAACAAATCCTAATGATATTCAGCTCCACTGGATACACTGAAAATATTGATCTAACAGCTCTATTTTAAAATGTCAACATTTAAAATTTACTGGAAATTACACCCTTTGCAATAATTCAAACTTGTGCCAATCATGTTAAATATCATTTTAAGAATGTGCAAAAGGGTGTGGGATTTTTCAAAATGCTTTTAGGGGGCTAGGCATGGTGGCTCACACCTGTAATCCCAGCACTTTGGGAGGCCGAGGCAGGAGGATCGTGAGGTCAAGAGATTGAGCCAATATGGTGAAATCAAACCCCATTTCTACTAAAAATACAAAAATTAGCTGGGCATGGTGGTGAGCACCTGTAGTCCCACTACTTGGGAGGCTGGGAGAGCGTGCCATTGCACTCCAGCCTGGTGACAGAGCAAGACACTGTCTCAAAAAAAAAAAAAATGCTTTTAGGAAGTATTCAATTAAAAACCACAACTTCCATTCTTTCAAGTGTAATCCATACTGAGCGTATACACATTGAAATAATTTTTTTTTTTTTTTGAGATAGAGTCTCATTCTGTCGCTCAGGCTGGAATGCAGTGGCACGGTCACGGCTCACTGTAACCTCCATCTCCTAGGTTTAAGTGATTCTCCTGCCTCAGGCTCCAGAGTAGCTGGGATTGCAGGCATGCACTACCATGCCGGGCTAATTTTTGTATTAGCTGAGGGTTTCACCATGTTGGTCAGGCAGATCTTGAACTCCTGACCTCAAGTGATCCACCCACCTTGGCCTCCCAAAGTACTGGGATTACAGACGTGAGCCACCACTCCTGGCCTGAAATATATATTTTTATATAAATTGCTTTTCTTTCTCTTCTATGTTGCAACTCAGGCATTATTTCAATTAAAATTATGTGCTTTTATAGATTTTTATTATCTCTGAATTTGCTTTGGAATAAAAGAGGTATCACAAAAGATTGATCATAAAAGGGAGAACATTAGTTCTGATAGGGTTGAGGGCTATAGAGAGGGTTTTACAGACAAAGACTTGACTCTCACTCTGAGTGAAATGGAAGATTGCCAATTTCAGTGTAGTGGTGAGCTCTAGCCCATGTTTTAACAGCATCAATGCAATTACTGAGCAGAAGGTATGTTGGAGGGGAGCTGGCATGGAAGCAGGGACACTAATCAGTGGGCTTATGTAGTCATCCAGGTGTGAAGTGATGGGAACTTGGACCAGTTGGAGAATAAAGAACACTGGTTGAAGTGGACACATTCCAGACCTGTCTGGGGTATCCTATATGTCCATGGGCTCAATGGGCTAAAGCAGAATTTCAAGGATCTCAGCCCTTCGATCCTAGTTGGTGGCAGCTCAGAACCCTGGGCTCAGCCTCTTGTCTATAAATACTTCCACTTCTAATTTGTCAACCTTATTTTACTTGTTTTGTTAATACAAGCTTTTTTCATTCCAATGAAATAGTCCTAAGAATTTTAGATTGATTTGAAATTTTGAAGTTTTGGTTTCCTTTGCCTATTTGTTGGCTTCTTACTGAACAAAGAAATAAGGAACATAAAAGACAAAAATGCTAGGACTGACGTTTAAAAATTTTCTTACTTAGCCCTGGGGACATAAAAGTAGCTAAGTAACTTCTCTTTTCAGAAGCAGGACAAGGGTGTAGATGTGCAAAGAGATGCTCCATAGGTTAATCTGCAATGTGTTTAACATTAGGCTCCCTCTAAAAAAAACTGTTATCAAGAATCTGGGCTGATTTTACCTTTGTTGCCATTATATTTCTTTCTCTTTTTTCCTTGAGGTATTGCCATATGGCCTCATTGCCTTCAGCACACACTTCTTTTGGGGGCTCTTCCATGGGATTGTCCATCAGTGTCAGGACCTTAATATTCACTAGGGAATCCAAATTCTCTGGAAGATGGGTGAGCAAGTTGTCCTCCAGCAGTAATTCTTTCAAAGCTGAAAAGATTTTTTTAAATGGTGGATTAATCTTAAGAACAAACAATATTAACTTGTCACCTAATCCTGCCCACATGAGTGAGGGATCCAATTCTGCATTTGCAAAAGGAATGAGAGGAAGGATACACAAAACTTTTTATACCATCTAATAAAAGTTCTCTCTATGTTTGCTCCTTCTCTTAATGAAGAGAACAGAATTCAGTCTCCAGGTATTCCAAATGTTTTGTTTGTTTGTTTAGAGCAACAGTTTTTAGCTGAAACTGACAGCCCATTGGCAAAAATCACTCAGGCCCTGCAGTTTCTAAGGTCAGCAGAGTATTGAGGGGTTTTTGTTGTTGTTTGAGACAGAGTCTTACTTTGTCATCCAGGCTGGAGTACAGTGGCATGATCTGGGCTCACTACAACCTAATTTTTGTATTTTTGTATTTTTAGTAGAGATGGGTTTTACCATGTTGTCCAGGATGGTCTTGAACTCCTGGCCTCAAGTGATCCAACCACCTGGGCCTCCCAAAGTGCCAGGATTGCAGGTGTGAGCCACTGCATCTGGCCACATATTGGAAAAATGGACTCTTCATGCTGTTTCCCACAGGCCTCACTACTCGCTGTGATTGCTACAAGCTTTGGCACATTGGTGTTACCTGCCTGATCCCTAAAGACTGTGGAATGTGAGACACCTGGTTCACATAGTCATTCCCTTGCTACTCTCAAGTTGAAAAGCAAATTAAGTTTTTGAAAAAAATTACTCTTTGGTATAAAAATAATATATATAATTTAAATGGAATTGTTGTCTGCAAAAACAGCAAAAGATGAAAATAATTCTCCCTCACCATCCCTTTCCTACCAACCCTCTCACATCTTAATTGTCATAAGGAACCCCTGTTATTGGATTCCTGTGAGTCATTACAGAAAATCTCTAGGTACATGCAGGCCTATAGGTATATGCATATAAAACATCATAAATGAAAATATTATCATATTATATAGAATGCTCTGAAACTGGTTTTTTAGCATAATGGACTATCTTTAAATAGTTCACTGAAAGAGAAATAAAAATGCTTAATAAGCATGAAAAAGATGCTTAAAATCACTCCATGGGAGAAATGTACATTTAACACCAAAATGTAGTGTTTTACCAATCAAACAGACAGGGATGAAAAGTTTGGTAGTACCCAGTAGTAAGGAAGGAGAAGAGAAAAATTATGTTTAAATACTACTTAGTGATAAATGACTTATAAACTCAATCACTTTTCTATATGTGGTTCACCAAGAGAAGATAAATATAAAAAATGTGGTCATGAGACTGAATGTTTAAAGAACATAAAATTATGTACATTTCAAAAAAGATCATATCAAAGTGCATTCTTTAGTCCAGTTTGTCTTTTGCTGTGCTATCTAATAAAAGGCTTCCAATTAAATAAGGCAAGCCAAGCTATTTTTTTTTACAACTTCTTTTTAACAATTCAAAGTTATTGAAGCCAGTCAATAAATATTAGAAAAAATAGTAAACACTGAAAATATTTGAGAATATTTCACTCCTCCAGGGATCAAGGACAGGGTAACAATTTATGGTGAGGAGCATTACTAAAGAGTACTGCATACAGCCCCTTGCCCCCAGTTTTTGTTTTGTTTTGTTTTGTTTTGAGACAGAGTCTCACTCTGTTGCCCACGCTGGAGTGCAGTGGTGTGATCTCGTCTCACTGCAACCTCCACCTCCCAGATTCAAGCAATTCTCCTACCTCAGCTTCCCAAGTAGCTGGGATTACAGGCACAGTGTCATCACACTCAGCTAATTTTTGTATTTTTAGTAAAGATGGGGTTTTGCCATGTTGGTCAGGCTGATCTTGAACTCCTGACCTCAGGTGATCCGCCTCTCAAAGTGCTGAGATTGCAGGTGTGAGCCACCGTGCCCAGCCCAGCCCCTAATTTTTTAATGTCTTGTGAGTAGGCAAGACATTCCTTCATCCTTTTCTCATTAAAGAATAGCCATAGTACATAAGCCTAGGGAATTCAGGAAAAAAACATTTAAAATCTGGTCCCAGTGGGTGCTCAGCAAAAGCATGTTAAGCAGATGGATGAATGTACAGACAAAGAATGGCTTAGTCTACTGGAAAATGTTTGGGAGTTTAAATAGGAATCATATATAGTTTTCCAGGTCAATCATGTAGTTCCAAAAGTTCCCTGCTAACTTCACCATTCTGGGCCAATACTTTTTCCTTTATTCAAGTGGCTTAGTGAGCTAGATGAAATTTACTGCAGGACCCCAGCTCCAAATTCTGGCATATAGTAAGTGTGCGGTAAATTATTGTTGGCAGTGTAATGGACATATGGGTGAATGCAAATTTTCTTTGCAGTTGCTATTTACTTTTCATTCCAATAAACAACTTAACTGCCTTTGCAAGACATAGCTATATTAATCAGGACCTGGCCTCCCCCATGCCACTAAGTGAGCCCTGCAAAGAAGTGATGGGATAGACTCAATTCTCTATATTAACCTGGCCTCCCCCATGCCACTAAGTGAGCCCTGCAAAGAAGTGATGGGATACACTCAATTCTGTAAACACTAAGATTGGTCTTTAGAAAAGCAAGGAAGCCATTCGCTATGGGAAATGCTGGCCACAAACTCTACCAGGCTGTGGATGTACTAAGTTCCCTCACCTTGTGCTTGGCAAATGGCATCTGGAAGTTGTTTAAGCAAATTGTGCCGGCAATCAAGAACTTCTAGGTTAGGCATTGACCCCAGGGACATGGGCAGGTACTCCAGATGATTGTTCTCTATATATAGCTCCTTGAGACTCTGAAATAACATGAGTATACCATAATAATATACCTTGATAAGTTAATTATAATAACCAGAACACCTGTGGGTGCCTATCCATTTTTTTTTTTTTATTCTTTCAATGGGGAAGTTATGCACTGGGATAAAGGAAAAAAACATATTTAAAGGACCATCATCAAGACATAAAGTTATTTTTGAGTAAATCCATTAAACTTGGTTTCCATTTATGTAGGGAGAAGAGACTATAGACATCTAATGCTTATTTGTTTCATCAGGACTTTATGAAAAAAATAATTTGAATAATTTAACTACATTTATTATTAACTCCTTTTTAATAGCTAATTGTCTGTGGCAGTTGCTACAGAATAACTGCCTCAAATATCAACCCAATATTGCCTCAGTGAAAGTAGCCAAAATGCATAGGGAATGGGTTTGAGTTTATTTGAAATAAACTATTTTCAACTTCACTGGGCAAATATCTAGTGTTTGCACTTCACCCTAAGATTGTGACAGGACATTTACAAAGGACAAGATGTTGAAAGGTATTTCTATGAACACAGGGCAAAGGACTGGAGAAATAGGAATAGAGACCCTGTGTCATGGTGAGAACTACCTATACTATACATGCCATTGCATGACTGGGGGTTATGTGGTGGCCCATGCCTACTTTATCATCATTAAGAGTGTGGCAGGCTGGGAGCGGTGGCTGATGCCTGTAATCCCAGCACTTCGGGAGGCCAAAGTGGGTGGATCACCTGAGATCAGGAGTTCGAGACCAACCTGACCAACATGGCGAAACCCTGTCCCTACTAAAAATACAAAATTAGCTGAGTGGGGTGGCGGGCACCTATAATCCCTCATACTTGGGAGGCTGAGGCAAGAGAATCACTTGAACCCAGGAGGTGGAGGTTGCAGTGAGCCAAGATTGTGCTATTGCACTCCAACCAGGGCAACAAGAACGAAAAACCAAAAAAAAAAAAAAAAAAAAGAAAAAAAAAAAGAGTGCTGCAACAGGAACATGAAAAAAATCAACAGTTCTTTAAAGGATGAATATAAGAAGACACCCTAGTATGGCTACTTTGCATAAGGTTATCCTGTTGCTTTGCAAGTATTCCCCTGTAGATCTACGAAGCTGGTGCAACATGATTTTCTTTTTTCCAGCAGGGAGAGAGGTCACACTTCCCCTTACAGGGAATCCTGGGCACCAAAATGCAGGCTCCCAGCCATGTCATTTGTATGATATTCTTTAACTTCAAAATAATCCAGTTTTCAGGGGGCTACTTACAAAAAGTGGAAATTAAATGGAAAGAGGTATGACCCAATTTCTGTAAATGAAACACACCAAGTCACACAGTGGAAAGAAGTATCACAATAAAACGTTGAAGTGTTGTTCACGGACAGTGGAAACTTCAAAACGTAAAAACAATCACTTGTTTGAAGCTGGAAGTCTAGTATGGATGATTCTACATCTGGCCTGTGGGACCTCATATTTTCTCAGTTTCAGCCAATTTAAGGGACAGTGGCAGTGGCTTCTTAGCCAGCTCATCGGGGGAGGCTTACCTGCAGTTTCCCAATGTGTTCTGGCACATAGGTAAGTTTGGATCCCTGGTCTTGCCCAATGTATAATTTCTCTAAAGACTCTAAAGAAAAGACTTCCTCCGGAAAGGAAAGGAACTCATTTCCTGTTATTCCAAGTATCTTCAGTTTTGAAAGTGAGCCCAATTCTGAAGGTAACTGGAAGTATTCCAGAAAGACAAGTTTCAGATCAAGATTATTTTTAACTGTCAGCAAATAAACTGGGCTTTTGGTTTTGAGGCAGATTGCTAAACAACAAGTGGAGTAACTTAGCCTCTCCTACTGATGGAAAATTGTGTATATATCTGCATTACAGTATTTATACTTGTAGATCTAAAGTCTCTGCTCTTCACTTTTATGCACTACTTTAAACTAGAGCAATTTTTTCCTTGCTGGGTGCAGTGCTCATGCCTTTAATCCCAACACTTTGGGAGGCCAATCAGATCACCTGAGGTCAGGAGTTCAAGACCAGCATGGTCAACATGGCAAAACTCCGTTTCTACTAAAAAATACAAAAATTAGCTGGGTGTTGTAGCAGGTGCCTGTAATCCCAGCTACTCAGGAGGCTGAGGCAGGAGAATCTCTGAAACGTGGGAGGCAGAGGTTGTAGTGAGCCAAGATTGCGCTACTGCACTCCAGCCTGGGCGACAAAGCCAGAATCTATCTCAAAAAAAAAGAAAAAAAAAAAAAAGGCTGGGTGTGTGGCTCATGCCTATAACCTCAGCACTTTGGGAGGCTGAGGCAGGTGGATCACCTGAGTTTGGGAGTTCGAGACCAGGCTGACCAACATGGAGAAAACCTGTCTCTACTAAAAATACAAAAAAATTAGCTGGGCATGGTGGTGCATGCCTGTAATCTCAGCTACTCAGGAGGCTGAGGAAGGAGAATCGCTTGAATCCAGGAGGCAGAGGTTGCAGTGAGCTGAGATCGCGCCATTGCACTCCAGCCTGGGCAACAAGCGTGAAACTCCATCTCAAAATAAATAAATAAATAAATAAAAATAAAATAAATAAAATTGGAGCAATTTTTAACCAACGTTCTTGCCATTTATGAACTGCAGAATGGCAACTGCTTGACACTATTGAAAGAAAAATACTAAAATTATGTGTAATGTTGTATTCATAACATTCATAATAAATTCAGTGATTAGAACTAATTTAGTGATGTGACTCTTCATTCTAAAAGGCTTTAATAATTTTGAAACTTCAGTTGAAATCTCAGTTGGAAGCAAACATATATTCACACCACTTCTAATTAGTGTTCAGTGAACGCTGTTATGGCCCTATCCTGTCATGTTCTGCTTTCCAGTGAATACCCAGGCTTGTGAACCCTATGTGGGAACTGGGTCGGCATTCAGAGTGCCAGACTTTCAGGACTGGAAGGCCTAAGGAAGGTTCTCTCTTCCAACCCTCTAATACAGTGGTTGCATACATTCTATAGCAAGCCATCCAGTTGTGATCTAAACACCACCTCCTGTGAAGAAAAGCTCATTTCCTTCTATGGCTTCTTCTAACCATCAGATTTCCTACTTTAGTCCAGCCAAAATCAGCCTCACCGTTATGTCCATTTATCAGTTTCTTTCTGGCCCATAGGAACCACATGGGAAAAATCTAATTTTTTTTCTTTTCTATTCTATTCTTTTCTTTTTTAGACGGAGTCTCATGGAGTGTCACTCTGTCGCCCAGGCTGGAGTGCAGTGGCACGATCTTGGCTCACTGCAATCTCTGCCTCCCCGGTACCTGCCATTCTCCTGCCTCAGCCTCCCGAGTAGCTGGGACTACAGGCACGAGCCACCATGTCCAGCTAAGTTTTGTATTTTTAGTGGAGTGGAGACGGGGCTTCACCATGTTGGTCAGGCTGGTCTCAAACTCCTGACCTCAAGTGATCCAGCATAGTGACAGCCAGAAAGGGAATCCATACCTGCCCTATTTTATTGTCATCAAGTGCCAGGACTTCCAGGTTCTTCAGCGCACAGATCTGTGGTGGGCAGTGGTCCAGATGGTTCTGGCTGAGGTCCAGGCAGCGCAGGTTGATCAGGCGCCTAAAGGAGCCCCGCAGCCTGCGCAGGCCGGTGTTTCTCAGGTAGAGCAGGTGCAGCGAGGTCCAACTGCAGATGAGGCGCGGCACCTTCTCCAGGCGGTTCCCACTCAGCCCGATTTCCGTCATCTCCCTGAGCTCAGCAAGGCTGTTCGGGATGGAGTGGAGAAGGTTGTGGGATAAATCGAGCACTGACAGTCGGCTACATTGGCTCAGAGACGCCGGCAGAACGCGGAGGTTGTTAGAAGCCACGAAGAACTTCTGCAGTCGCGTCAGGTGCCCGATCTCTTCTGGGATGGCACCAATTTTGTTCTCGTCCAGGTCAACAATCTCCAGGTTGTAGAGAGCGCAGAGCTCCTGGGGGAAAGCTTCAAATTGGTTTCGCTTCAGGTAGATCTCCCTCAGCTTCGTCTGATTCGCTATTTCCTTGGGCAGACATTTCAGATGGTTTCCGGTCAGTCCGAGCAGCTCCAGGTGGTGGAGGTTTTTACAAATGATAACGGGAATCTCCTTCAGGTTGGTCTGGTAGAGCCGGAGCTCACGCAGGGCGCGGAGGAAGCTGACGACAAGAAGGGAGGAGGAGAAGATGGGGTTGTAGCTCAGGTCCAGGCTCTCCAGGCTGCTCAGCAGTCCCAGAGCCGGGCACAGGCTCCTCAGGTTGTTCTTGTCCAGGTAAAGGACCCTTATGTTCTTTAAACGCTGAATCTCCTGGGGAATTTCTTCAATCTGGTTATTCTCTAAATGCACTTCTTCTAATTCTGTGAATGCGAAGATCTCCAACGGAATGGCAGTCAAGCTCTGATTAGAGGCATTGATGAAAAATGTTCTATCATTGACATGCTGTGGATCATTTCTCTGAGGAATTTTAGGTGAACGTTCTACTGATTTTACGTCTTTTGACATTATTGTGAAGAAACGTTCAAATATTCAAAATCTGAAATATTGTGAAAAGGATGGAAAAAAAAAATCAGAATTTATCTGCCACCAGACTTGCTATCCTTAAGAAAAATAAAATTAAAACCTAGTTAATTAGACTTAGTGCTTGAAATTATGACAGAACATAAAATTTAGGTTTTTGCATTTCATGTTAAGAGAAGAGTTAAAGTGTTAACTCCTTCCCCTAACACGTAGACTCACATGAAAAAAAGATTAATTTCAGATTTATTTATTTTATTTATTTTTGAGACAGTTTTGCAATTGCTGCCCGGCTGGAGTGCAATGGTTCGATCTCTGCTTACTACAGTCTCTGGCTCCCGGGTTCAAGGGATTCTCCTGCTTCAGCTTCCTGAGTAGCTGGGATTACAGGTACCCATCACCACGTCCAGCTAATTTTTGTTTTGTATTTTTAGTAGAGATGGGGTTTCACCATGTAAGCCAGGCTGGTTTCAAACTTCTGACAGATCCACCTGCCTTGGCCTCCCAAAGTGCTGGGATTATAGGTGTGAGCTACCGCACCCAGCCTAATTTCAGTTTAAAAAAATGCCTATTCTGAATGTTTCCAGTAGGATGTAGAAGGTTGCAAAAGATCCTTGCTTTTACCATAACATTCATATTTTAAAAGATAGTATTTTACCTTAAAGCCACCAGAGAGTCAAAGATACAAAGCAAGCTAAAAAACAAAACAAAAACAAAATACAAACAAAAAAACTATATTCTAGAGATGCACCAGCCTTTCCTAAATAACTAGAGACCGGTGAGTAGACCCGCTCATGCCTAATGTCATTTGCAAGTTTGAGGACTGTCAGGCAGAAAAACAACCATTTAATAGGCACAGGCAAATGAACTTCTGGGACGAGGAGAAACCAGCCAAACTTTTAACAGCCATGTGTGGGTTGGCCTAGTGGATCAGAATCTGGAGTAGCTCCAAATGCGAAGTCGGTGTTCCCCACTAATTAGTTCTCCCCATTAGACTTTGGCTAAGGGGCCATAGGGAAAATTGTAGGCTGGACTAAAAAACAGAGAGAAGTCCTGTAGTTTCCTGGTCTTAAATACCTAAGCCTGGCTGGAAGGGTCTTAACTCTGTCTAAGCAAGACATTTGAAACTGCAGCGGAAATGAACTAAAGCCCAACTCAGAAAGAAATGAAAGTCTTTGATAAACAGAGAGAGAAATCATGTCCATGGATTAGAATGCTCAATAATGTTAAGATATCAATATTCCCCCAATTGGATCTATAGTTTTTATGCAATCTCAATCAAAATTTTAGCAAACTTTTTTTTTTTTGGTAGAAGTTGACAAGCTGATTCTAAAATTTATATGAAAATGCAAAGGAGCTAACTTCTTTAATGAAAACAAAATCAGCAGACATACACTACTAGGCTTATAGAGCTTATAAATGCAAGATGTGAATGTTGTATTTCAGAAGAGTAAGTCTTTAGTACACACACACACACACACACACACACACACACACACACACACAGTCTATGGGGGAAGGCAGAGAAGAACATGACATGGTAGTGACAAGGTTGGCTGTAGCATCTTTGAACTTCTTTTTAGGATGAAGGCAGTCCTGCTGGAGTATCTGTGCCTCTCATCCATCACAGAAGCCTAGTCCCTAGATGAATAGGATGCATTTCTAGTCCCATACATAATACTGCTGTTCCTCAAAACACAACGTGGTTCAGGTGCTTGTTGCTTTATGCCTGGCCTCAAAACCAGCTCCAAGGCAGTGTTATTTAAAGAAAAGGAAAGATGTAATATTGATTATGTTTAAAACTAGCTGTCTCCAATGTTGTTGTCATTTAGTCGTCAGGCAGATTATCTAATACTGTTCAGTCCTGTAAGACAAAATCTCCAGTTTCCTACTTGCAAATTTCTGAAAATTCTCCATAGTATCTAGACTGAGGCGATAGAACAAATAAAAACAGGGAACACCAGAACACTGATTACATACTCCAGGGTTTACTTAAAATAACCTATTTAATCTTCACAATAATCCTATGTAGGAGGCATCATTATTAGCCCTGTTTTACAGATAAAGAAATTATATAACTAAAAGGGCTCTTCTCAGCATATGGTAGGAAGTGGGAGTAGGAGCCAAGAATTGGACACAATCTCACCTAGATTTTTAACATCACTTGTTTACCGAAAACCTGGCATTTATTAAAATTATTCTTCCTGGGTGTGAGATTTTACACTTGATTTTATGGAATTAATAGGAGGGTGCATGAGCCTCCAAACACATGAAATAACTTATTTATCCTAACATTCATCTTTCTCCATCAAGACCTGCTTAGAATATCTGATTGTGTGTGTATGTTATCTCACCTTAATCATATATCCCATCAATTTGACAGCCCTCTGAAAGCTATAAATCCACCCATATTTCACGTTCATTTGTGGATTTAATAAAAGGAGATTGTAAAGCCCAGATTTCCAATAGCTTTGCCAATAATTCAGCCACAGTAAATGAGAATGGGGAAGCTTGGCTCTTTAGTGGCCATTTTTTTCCCTAGGGATTGCTACCTAAATGTAATCAAATTAACTTATTACAATCCAATATTATAGTAGAGTGGTTTCTAAATTGAATAATTGTTACATCTTCATCTGCAGGAGCCAAGATTTGGATAGTTTAACAATGAGCTTTTTTTTGTGTAACTCTAACGCCTGAGAAAATCATTTAGGAAACTGATCAGCCCTGCAAATTTACAGTGAGTGTTGGTACTTTTTTTTCCAAGTCTGACTATGCACAAACTAGATAGGTAAGACTAGGTTCCTGAGGTTGATAGGGTGTGCGACTCTCTCTGCTAGCATAAAAACCCATTTCTAGTTAAAGAATTTCAAGATTTTGCTTAAAACTTCACTCAGCAGATCTTTTCCCTCTAACAACCAATCACGAACAAACTAAAAGTAGCCTTAATTGACCTCAGATGGGACATTCATGTAGTGGTAATAAAGAGTAGCAGAATATGCCACCCCAAAATATGCCACTTTGGTATGAGGATTACTTTAAGCTAAAGACACTTGAAAAATGGCAGATGCAAGAAGCATATTCTCATCTTCCCTTTCCCTCCTTGAAAACAGGAGATAAAAACTACCATGTGAAACATGCCTTCACTATACCAGAAAAAAAAAACAGGGAGTTATAGCTGAGATAATTCTGTACAAATAGATCTTGTTAAAAAAAAAAAAAAAGAAAATTCCTGGAGGCAGAGCAAGATGGCTGATTAGAACCCTCTAGCAGTCATCCCCTCCAACAGGAACACCAAATTGAACACCTATTCACACAAGAAAACACCTTCATAAGAACCAAAAATCAGGTGTGCAATCACAGTACCTGGTTTTAACATTATAGCAAAGAAAGAGGCAGTGAAGACGGTAGGAAAGACAGTCTTGGATTGTTGGAACCATCCCTCCTCCATCCCCCAGCAGCAGCCACGTGGCACAGAGAGACTATGTGTGGTTCGGGGAGGGAGAGGAAAGTGGTTGTGGGACTTTGCAATGGAACGCAGTGCTGCCTGTCACAGTGGAAAGCAACACAGGGTAGAATTCAGGTGGTGCTCATGGAGGGAGCATTTAGACCAGCCATAGCTGGAGGGGAATCATCCATGCCAGCAGGTGGAACCTGAGTTCTGGCTAGCCCCACCACTGTGGGATAAAGTGCTCTGGGGTTCTAAATACACTTGAAAGACAGTCTAGGTCACAAGGACTGCAATTCCTGGGCAAATCTTGATGCTGTGCTGGGCTCTGAGGAATTGCACTTGAGGTGCTAAATGGATTTTAAAAAACAAGACCCAATGATCAATCTGTGGCCTACAAGAAATACATTTCACCTATAAAGAGACACATATACTGAAAACAAAGGAATGGGAAAAGATACTCCATGCAAATGGAAAACCGAAAAGAGGAGGAATAGCTATACATACATCAGACAAAATAGATTTCAAGACAAAAACTATGAAAAGAGACAAAAACTTCATTATATAATGATAAAGAGGCTCATTCAGCAAGAGGATATAACAATTATAAATACATATGCACCCAACACTGGAGCACCTAGTTATACAAAGCAAATATTACTACAGTTAAAGAAAGAGATAGACCCCAGTACAATAACCGCTATTGATTTCAATACCTCACTTTCAGCATCCAACAGATCAAGACAGAACATCAACAGAGGCATTGGACTTAATCTGCACTATAGACCAAATGGACCTAGATATTTACAGAACATTTCATCCAACAGCTGCAGAATACACATTCTTTTCCTCAGCACATGGATCTTCTCAAGGGTAGACCATATGTTCAGTCACAAAACAAGTCTTAAAAATTTCAAAAACAGTGAAATCATATTAAGTATCTTCTGTGAATACAGTGGACTAAAACTAGAAAGCAATAACAGGAAATTTGGAAATCATACAAACATGTGGAAATTAAATAACATGCTCCTGAATGACCTGGGTCAATGAAAAAATTAAGAAAATTAAAAATTTCTTGAAACAAATTAAAATGGAAACACCACATACCAAAACCTGTGGGATACAGTGAAAGCAGAACTAAGAGAAATGTTTATAGCAATAAGTGCCTACATCAAAAAAGCAGGAAAACTTCAAATAAACAATATAATGATGCATCTTAAAGAACTAGAAAAGTAAGAGCAAATCAAACCTCAAAGTTAGTAGAAGGCCGGGAGTGCTGACTCATGCCTGTAATCCCAGCACTTTGGGAGGCTGAGGCAAGTGGATCACCTGAGTTCAGGAGTTCAAGATCAGCTTGGCCAACATGGTGAAACCCCGTCTCTACTAAAAATACAAAAATTAGCCAGGAGTGGTGGCTAATCCCAGCTACTCAGGAGGCAGAGGCAGGAGAATCGCTTGAACCCAGGAGGCAGAGGTTGTAGTGAGCCAAGATCATGCCACTGTACTCCAGCCTGGGTGACAGAGCAAACGTCTCAAAAAAAAAGAGAGAGAGAAAAAAAAGAAAAGAAAAAACA